TAACTAAATAATATCCTTACTAAATGAGATCTTCCGATTTTAAAAAATTCATAATAAATGGATCAATGAGAGATATATGAATACACGCTTTTATCATCACACTTATAAGATTAGAAAGAGTCAGTATAAGATAACACAAATCATTAAGGTTGATGAGCCTACTACTACGGATCTCATGGAAATCAAACGGATGGTGAAAGAGTTCTTTAAGACTCTATATTCAAAAGAGAATCCTTATAGGCCTCCTCCATCTAGTGTTTTATTTATTACGAATAAAGCGACTGGTGCTATTAAAAGGGTGGCTAACCAGATTAACAATGAATAAATTCTTAATACAACTAATGATATGAGCCCCTTAAAGTCCCAAGCTCACATGACCTTTACACCTTATTATACCATAAACATTGGAGGTGGTTGGTACTATGTGAAAGAACTCATGAAAGGTATGTTTGAGGAAATGATCAACATTTCCTTTGTAAGCCACACGTTTGTCACTCTCATTGCTAAAAGAGATTTGGTTAAATGAACTTATTTAGACGAATCAGGTTAGCATTTTGCTTAAGAGTGGGATTATTAACAACATTATTTATACTCATAAAACAATTCACTTTATGAGGGCTAAATGGGGGGAAAGAGGGTTCATGCTGATCAAGGGTGATATGGACATCATCAACCTACGCGACTTAACTATGACTTCATTAAGGATGTCCTTGGATCTCTATGTCTCTCCAATAAATATATCAAGTGCATCATGAAGTGCATCAAATCTCCTTCAGTGCATATCAATATCAATTGAGAGGCCTTCGATTAGTATATGTTCAATCAGGGAATAAGACAAAGAGATATTTTATCCTTATACTATATGTTATTTGTATTGAGAGGCTTTGGTTACATAGTCTATGATAGGGTTAAATATGATAATTGAAAACTTTCAGGAATTGACTATATGGATTGTAAACTTTCCAACATTTTCTTTGGTGATGATCTCATCACTTTATTTGAAGCTTTTACTGATAAAGTTAATATAATCAAAGATTGCACGAAGGTCTTTTGCGTTATTTTAGACCAAAAAGTTAACATCTTTATGTCGTGAATCTATTTTTTGAGAACTTAGAGGAGGGATGTCATCCATATAAATAAAGATACCAACAATATATTTTTTTTTATTAATAATTTTGGACGACATTTTGAGTCTCTTTAATTTATGCTATCACATATCGAAATACTTTGACCGAATTTAAAATATATTTAAGTTCTCTTGTGTTATTGAAAAATTAAATTACTCGTATATAATTAGATCATTTTGATATTAATAAACAAGAGGGTCATTGACCAACCCTCTTGTTTATTTTCTTTATTTTGTTTTGTTTTCTCCTATAAATATATATATAATTTTTTTTTTAAAGTTATAATTTGGAAATGAAGTTAATTGGTAATCACGTACAAATTGATTAAATTTTACTCGGTTTAGTAATTGAGACACTAATTATGGTGCATAGATATTTTTGTTTAGATTCAGGTTTGAAATGTATTTGGACTTTTATTGTGTTACCAAGAGAGTAAACAAACAATTAAATTGGGTATCTGAAAATATCAGTGCAGTAATTAAACCCACCCACAGACATGTATGGGTAGTCTAAGGAAAATATATGATTGCATGCATGTATATATTTGTTAATCATTGCAGGGTTTGAGGTGGTCAATGCGATGAGTATTTTTCTGGGTTTTGCGAATAAATTAATCATTTACTAGCGTTTAGTAAATGATTTTCTAAAAACATATGAAATAATAATCGATGGTAATTTGTACGTTTAACACTTTATTTGTGGAAAAAAAATTAATTTCTTAATTTGTTTTTCTTTTGGTTAAATATACAAACTGAGAAAGTAGAGGGAAATGAAGTTTGGTATCCCTTTCTTTTTTCTTTTTTCTTTTTTTAAAATTTTCAATTAAGCAAAAATAATATATATTTTTTTAATTTCAAAATTATATTCATTAAAATTTTATATTTAATTTTTTTTTAAAAAAAAAGAAGAAGAAAGAATAGGTTGCAGAGAGACTGTTGAAACAATAACTGCGTTAGCTTTCAAATATTAAATGTTTTTCTTTTTTTTTATAATCTACCAACAATTTACAGTTAAATCCAAATTATGCTTTGCTTCTATCATCATTAATCCAGATTCTTCTTATTAAATATATTAACTACATAATATAATCAATCTTCTGAATTCATGGAGGGAGAGATACAATCTTTTTTATAACTACGATTCAGGTTTAAATTTTATCGTCATTAGAAGCAATTGCGAATTTTCTCACATTTATATTTAAAAGTATGAATTAGAAAAAACGTGAAAATTAAAGAAATGCAGTTGCATAAATAATACTACTGCTTGTCCTCCTTAGCTGGCCCCGACCGAGAATACCGGAAGTCAAACCCCCAACCGGCGCCGTACTTGCTCCGTGTCGGCTCAGGCCACTCTACGAACCACCTTCACCAATCATGTCCCTCGCTCACCCTCAACCCTTTGCTTATTTCTTTTTCGGCTTTTATTATCATAACGCAGCATTTTAACTGCTTAAAACTTTCTCCGTCTCCCTTTTTTTTTTTAAAAAAAATTTCTGCCTCCCACGAAAGCCCTTTTTTGGAGAGAGAGAGTGGGAGTCTACAGTTTGTTCTTCACCAGCCATTTTCTCTCTCTCAAATTATTTTCTATTTATTTATTCCTCTAAATTTCTCTTCTTTGGCTTTTGTCAACTGAAGAAACTGAGGGATATAGAGAGAGAAAGCGTAGCAAGGGAGAGAAAAGGACAGAAAAGTGATACAGATTGGTCACCAATAGTGGTTTGAGGCGAAAGAGAAAAAAAAAAAAAGAGCTTGATGTCAAGGTAAGAATTTTCTCTTTCGGGACAGAAATGGAATGCCTTTTTTTTCTCTTTACAAAAAGAGGAAATAGATTTTTGTGAACTGGGTATTCCCTAATTTCTGGTAAATTCGTATAGTTTTTGTATACTTGATTGAAGAACAAATGAAAAAGAAATGAAGATGTTTAGGTCACTGGATCAGGGTCCATGAGCCATGGTGGATCGCCGAATCACAGTAGCTTTCGTCCTTGTGTCCTGGTTGCTATTGTTTGACTCTACATTTCAGCAACAAACTGGAATCGAGGCACTGAGTTCACGCACGGAGAGAACGGCTCTGCTTGAACTCAGGGCTTCTTTGGGACTAAGAAGCAGGGATTGGCCCAAGAAAGCCGACCCTTGCAGCCTGTGGAATGGCGTAACATGTCAAAATGGGAGTGTCGTTGACATTAACATTTCTGGGTTTAGGAGAACTAGAATTGGTAGCCAAAACCCTCTATTCGCTGTTGATTCTCTCTCTAATTTCTCGCATTTGGTTTCTTTTAATGCCTCCAATTTCTTGCTTCCTGGTTCTATTCCAGATTGGCTTGGGCATAAGTTGTTGTCCCTTCAAGTCTTGGATCTCAGTTCGTGTTCTATAAGAGGTGTTATACCTGTCAGTCTTGGTAATTTGACTAATTTAAGGAGTTTAAATTTATCAGCCAATAGCCTCACTGGTTTTATTCCTGCTAGTTTGGGTCAGTTGTCAAGCCTTTCTATGCTTGATCTTTCCCAGAATTCACTGACTGGATCCCTTCCTCCTTCATTTGTTTCACTTGAGAATCTGTCAATTTTTGATCTTTCTTCCAATTTCTTAGCTGGGTCGATTCTTCCAAGCATCGGAGCTCTTCTGAAGCTTCAGTTTCTTAATCTGTCCAACAATAATTTTTCTTCTTCAATACCTTCACAGTTGGGTGACCTTCATAGTTTGGTTGACCTTGATCTCAGCTTCAATTCGTTGTCTGGTTCAGTGCCAGCGGATTTAAGAGGGTTAAGAAATTTGCAGAGAATGGTGATTGGAAACAATCTTCTTAGTGGGACCTTGCCGGTTAACTTATTTCCTGCTCAAAGCCAGCTGCAGGTTGTAGTTGTGAGACAAAATATTTTCACTGGTGAAGTTCCTGATGTGTTGTGGTCAATACCTGGATTGCATATTCTCGACTTGTCTGGCAACAATTTCACTGGCTTGCTGCCTAATTCTGGTTTGAATGCTAATGTCACAGCTGCACAACTTAATATCTCACAGAACAAGTTTTACGGCAATATCACACCTTTGCTTAGAAAGTTCAAAGTCGTTGATCTGTCTGGAAATTATTTTCAAGGCACAGTTCCAGATTTTGTGCTCAATAATTCATCTCTTGGTAGGAACTGCCTGCAAAACGTCTCAAACCAGAAGACCGTGACAGAATGTGCATCGTTCTATGCTGAGAAGGGCCTGACTTTTGATAATTTCGGACGTACAAATTCATCACAACCTACAGCCCCAAAGTCTTCTTCCGGGGTAAGCTACAGAACTATAATTATTATAGCAACTTCAGTTGCAGGGGGAGTTGTGCTTCTTCTGGTTTGTTTGGTACTTTTTATCCTATGTGCCCGTAAGAATGGTGCTACAAGTCAAAGAGGGGTTGAAGTGGGTCCAAGTCCTGCTGGAGCAAGTCCTCCACTGCCAGCAACAGTCATTAACTTTGCTGGGGTAGGAGATTCATTAACTTATCAGCAGCTGCTCCAAGCCACAGGAGACTTCAATGATGCGAACCTGATCAAACATGGCCACTCAGGGGATCTGTTTCGTGGTACCTTGGAAAGTGGAATTCCTATCATCATCAAAAGGATTGATTTGCAGTTGATTAAACGGGATGCATATTTATCAGAATTGGATTTCTTTAGTAGGGCTTCACATCCAAGATTGATTCCATTCTTGGGACACTGCTTGGAGAATGAAGACCAAAAATTCCTGGTTTACAAATGTATGCCAAATGCTGATTTGTCAAGTTCCTTGTACCGCAAATGTAGTTCAGAAGAAGATGGTTTGCAGTCATTGGATTGGATAACAAGACTGAAAATTGCAATTGGTGCTGCTGAAGGTTTATCCTACATGCATCATGAATGTTCCCCACCCTTTGTGCACAGGTACTTTCAATAATTATGCACCAATCTTTTCTTTTACTATAATTGCCTTAATAGTTGATGTGCTCAAATTCTTGTAGTTCTTGATTGTTGCCTCAAGCCTATTAGTTCTTTGTGTGAATCTTGAAACAGCAGATTTGCACATGAGATCAATCCATAGGTCTTCAATGATCTCAATACGCCTGCACTAGTTTGGTAAAGTAGGCCTCTATCTATAAACGTGGCTTCTTATTGAGATTAGTAACTCACTTTCGTTATTCTATTTTTCGAGGATCATGTCTAATAGTCTAAGTAAGAAAGAACTTGGGGCTTTTTAATGCTGGTAGATGAAATAGTTCACTAATCTGAAGCTGATCTTTCTTGAGTGGTCAATGCCTCGATCAAGGATGAAATATGGGCATGGATTGGTAACCCTTCATCCAAGCACCGGAAAAATTTCTCCCTCATCCCTCTTTATGTCTTATGGGTCATTTAGAAAGAAAGGAATTGAAGAGCTTTTGAGTGGTCTTTTCTACCTTCCTTGCATATATCAGGAATACCACTTGGTGGATTATGTAGATGTGATTGACCTTTGTTATCCTCTCTCTTTGTATTTTTGGACATGGGCTACCCTTCTTTGGTGCCCGTTAATCTTTATTTCTTTTTCCCTCTGAAAAAAAAAGAAATATTGAAGCCTATCTTCTCATGCAACTTTAGGGCTCTCTAATTGATAAGGATTAGGCGTTAGGATATTATCATTAAATTCTAGGAAATTATTACTTGTTTGATATTATCATTAAATTCTAGGAAATTATTACTTGTTTAATATATTCAGTTCACTAAGCTAAAAGTGTGGGACATGTTTATTGTGCACAAAGTTATACTTATCATGTGGTCAAACATTCAATATGAACATTTGTAAAGTGTAGTTTGGGGGAAGATGTCAGTCATACATAGAAATGTATAGGTGGTTGGTCTATGTGAAGGACTGATATTATTGGAATTGTTATTGTCATAACTAAGATTGATGATTTTCTAGAACTTGAGAAGTAAGTGAGGGAAATTGCAGTATTATCAATAGCAGTGGAGGTTTAACTGACATAAAATTTCATGTGCTTGGTTATGTAAAGCTAATGCTCTACTTGGAGAAACAAATGGAGAAGAGGGGTAGAGGGCAGATCACCAAAGCCTACATCTTTATTTGGATTATCTTCAATGATTTGCACCAGATTTAAAAAATGCCGGGTCCAAATGGTAACATGGTATGCTTTGTTGTCACAGGGATGTACAAGCAAGTAGCATACTTCTTGATGACAAATTTGAAGTACGACTTGGGAGCCTGAGCGAAGTATGCACTCAAGAAGGGGACCCTCATCAAAATAGGATTACCAGGTTGCTGCGGTTGCCAAAGTAACTACCTTTTTCAGATATTTTTAACTGGACTTAGATATTTCATTGATTTTGTTACTTGGATGTGTTCCTTTTGATTGTTCTATGTGAATTTATTTCAAAGTCCTTGCCGTGTTTGTCATTTGCACTTATTTCTATCTGTAATCTACTTCTGTCCCTGTTGACATGATCACTATGCTAGTTTTTCATCAGATTTCCTCAGTATACTAATGGTTATGCATTATGCAGCAGTTTAAAAGTCTTCTTTAATTTGTTGCATTATTTCTTACCTTAGTTCTCATATTTCTTGAAAGCTACTACAGAAGACTGATGCCGTGGCAGTGTAAATTTTTGCAGAATTGTACAATATATGTTTTTCACAGTCGAACTGCTTCTAGGGCAGTAAAACCTGAAACAAGATAGACTTGATTGTATTTCCTTACAGATTCAATTCTTTGATGATTCCTGCCCTCTTTAGATACTTGTGTTATCACATGGTTATGTTACGCAAAGTTGATTATAGTACTATGATGAATATTAATGCTTTATCATTGCATGTCTTGTTTATCTGACAAGAGTTAATTTTAATGATTTTCTTTTCATGTTCGTATTCCAGGTCATCAGAGCAAGTTGCTTCTGGTATGTATACATTTTAGTTGTACACTTTAATTTGAAGATTATTTGTCATTTCCAGCCTTTATTATGCACCCTCAAGATTTAGATAGAAATCAGCTAGTGTAATATTTGAACATTCAGATAATTTTATTCACTTAAAGTTGGGATCTTTAAACAGATAGTCACTACCCCATGTATTTCTTAGAGACTTAGAAAACGGTCTTACCTCTTTTATCTTTCTAATCAGTGAAATATTGTATTGCCGTTTTTTTTAAATAAACCTTTGCAAGGGTGGTCTGGAGATCATTATTGAGTATATAGTGACATGGAAACTTGGATTCTGCCGAATTTACTGACATTGGATAGTCTTTGCATAATAAAATACAGAATCAGACTTGAAAGTATTTGGGGTTGCTTTAAAGAGAGAAGTCAGAGTCCTAGGTGCTTATAAGTAACTAGTGAGTAATTTGAAGTACATTAGTTCTTCATCTTCATCCTCAACTTCCTGTGGGGCATTTCTATGTTTCTGTAATTTTTACCTAAATTTCCTTATTGTCTAAACTATATATTGGATAAGTTAGTTTAACTACTAATCGTCATTAGTTGGTATTAGAGCCCAATTTATAATCCTATCTTCTATCACTGTTACACTGCTAACAAAAAAAATCAGATTTTCTATGTTTCTGTAATTTTTCCTTAAATTTCCTTATTGTCTAAACTATATATTGGACGAGTTAGTTTAACTACTAATCGTCATGCGTCAGTTGGTTTTAGAGTCCAATTTATATTTCTATCTTCTACCACTCTTACACTGCTAAAAAAAAAAAATCAGATTTTTGCACTATATTTGGCCCAAAAAATCTCAAAAGAAAGAAAACAAACAAACATCCAATAACCCCCACAGAATGACAGGTTTTGGAAGCATTACAATGGAAGCTACTGAAAACCACGAAGCTCACTGTTAATCTCTTGGTCTCCCAAATGTTGCCATGCTTGATCTTCATCTTTCTAGCATGCTAGAACACCAAATGTTGGTGTTCTATGCTCTGTTTGACCAGTTCAGACATATTTGATTAGTCCGGTTTAACCACTCTGGTTCTTAAATAGGTGTTACAGTTTTTTAGGTTTTTATATTGTATTTTACCCATTTTTAAGATCAGATTGGTCAGATTTGCACTTTGCAGTTACTTTCGAAGTAAATAAGCTCTAACTCAATATGGAACGCAACAAAGTTTTAGTTACAATTTCTATAATATACCTTATTATGCATGATGTGTTTTTGGTCCCTATGGATGGACAAGGAGGTTTAATATATTCCCATACATCAAGCTTGGGTCCAATAGGAATTTCTTGAAGAGACTGTGTTAAAAATTCTTTACATGGCAGTTACGTGTATGATAATTGCTGTTGGATGAGTATTGAGTATCTATTTGGCTTATGGAGTTAAAGAATTATATGATGTTATACAAGAATATAAAAAAGAGGTAAAATCTTCAACTATAGCTTCTCCTAACTTAAAAGAATTGAACCATGAAGTTTCTTTTGACCTATCTCCACGAACAATACAAGAATTGCCAACTCCAGAAGGTTGTTCCTGCCAATTATATTGAGCAATCTGCCAATTTGTCTTTGTTTTGACTCATGTTCCTCTAGAATCTACAATTTCGACAGCCAAGTTCTTTTTTCTCACGGAGACTATGAGTATTTGAAGTTGCGAACTTTTGAAGTTTGAGTTTCTAGAATCTACAAATTTCGATAACCAAGTTGTTTTTTCTCATGGAGATTACGAGTGCTCATAGTTGCAAACTTTTGAAGTTTGAGTTTCCTTTTTATGATTTTTTTTGAAATAAGAGTTTCCTTTTTACGATTGTTGGTCATTTATCAATTCGAGACTTAAGGTCGAGTTTTCACGAAGTTAGGTAGAGTGATGAGAACAAGAAGATATTGGTTTGAAATAATTTTTTTTTTCAACTAAATATTTTTTATAATAATAATTATTTTTTGCATCTTTAGTTTATTTAAGTAGCTTTTAAGCACAGTAGAAACTAAAATTCTTTTTATTTTTTCTTTTATAATTTTCTTTGTTAGTTATAATTAATGCTTGTACAAAGGCTAGTATCTAATATAAGAGAGGTAGATCATGATGAAATTGAGAATTCTTTTGCTAGAGTTTAATTTATAATCTGTCTTTTTGTTTGTTCTTCTAGTTACTATTTTGTTTAACCTATCTTGTTCAGGCTGCTTTTTTCTATATTTCTTCATCTGGACTCATAATTTCCTCTGGCCCACCTCCATTCTTGTGTTCCTCAGCTGAAGTTTCCTTTTAAAAACTATCCATGAAACAGGTTAATTTGATCACTACTTGTTCTGCATCATGTATATTGAGATGAATGAGTAACTTGACGAATTAAGAAAATGAGCATTTTATGTCCATAGGAAAAAATGCCGTGAAAATATTCCTTTTTATAACTTAATGTTGCTTATAAGCACTTAACAAGTAATCTGAATTGCCAAGCAAGTAGAGTTCAGTGGTTGCTTCATAAGTTGATTTTAAGCAAGATAAACACCCTGTTTGTTGCATGAACATCTCTCGCTGCTTCTTGTGTTTGTCGGCAGTGTATTTGATAGCACTTGCATGCTGGTGATAACCGATGTTTGCTAAACAGGATATATGTACCTATTCTTCGAATTAGGTGGTGTTAGTTACATAAGTTGATCTTGACTGTTTCAAATGGTTCAATCCTTTGTTAAGGGCATTGCATTTTTGCCAGTGCAAAACATTCTTATTTTCTTTCTATGGAAATCTGAAATTTTTTTGATGTTGAGCTGGAAATCATGATTTAAAATGGAGTCTCAGAGGCTGTGAAACAAACAAGAAACTAGAAATAATTGTTTCTCAATTTCAAAATTTGATTGATCATATTTGGAAAATGGGCAGGTTCAGCATCAGCAGCAACATGTGCATATGATGTTTACTGCTTTGGAAAGGTATTACTGGAGCTTGTAACTGGTAAGCTGGGAATGAGTGCATCCAGTGATTCCCAGGTGAAAGAATGGGTAGATCAGACGCTTCCATACATTAGTATATATGATAAGGAACTTGTCACAAAAATTTTGGACCCATCCCTTATTGTGGATGAGGATTTATTGGAGGAAGTGTGGGCAATGGCCATCATTGCCAGGTCTTGCCTCAATCCAAAGCCTTCCAGGCGGCCACTCATGAGATATATCCTCAAGGCTCTGGAAAATCCTCTCAAGGTTGTAAGGGAAGATAATTCTGGCTCTGCAAGGCTAAAAACAACCTCGTCAAGAAGTTCTTGGAATGCTGCCCTTTTCGGAAGCTGGCGTCACAGCTCATCAGATGTAGCAGTCAATCTTGCAGGCTCCATGACAAGAGCAGAGGGAGGAAGTAGCATAAAGCAGTCAGGAACCACAGGCTCCCAAGGTAGTGGGGGGCAGAATGGAGGCGGAGAGCACTCCTCAAGGAGACGGCAGTCTAGAGAAATATTCCCTGAACCATCATCAGAAGGACAAGACATAGAGAGACATTACCAGGAGTAGCAGCAGCGAAGAAAGAGATCGATTTTGCTTGATTCTTTGTTAATAATACAGCAGGGTTCCCATTTTTAGTGCCTGCTGGTTGGATACCCACCCAGAGACGCTCATGTTGGTTTTGGAGGGGAAGAAAGGTTGCATTTTGGTTGAGAAGGCTATACAATTTTCTGTGTTAAATGTTTACTTTTCTTTTTTTTTTTTTCCAATGTAATGGGTGGGATGGACTTCTGGTTGGAAGAGGAGGGGGGAGGGGGGGTTAAGATAGTTGTTTAATTCATTGGGAGCTTGTTT